ACAAATGTCTGACCCCCCCCCCTAGGTGCGTGACGTCATTTATGGACGGCCCCTAAGATGTCAACTTGTTAGCTGCTTGGCAAATCGTCGTCGTTTGTAACCTGAGTCCATTCAGACAAATCTATTTCCAATGGACAACTGTAGATGAGCGCGAATCCAATATAATATCATGTGTAGATAATAACCTGGCATTGGCGGATCGAATTATCAGAGTTGTCAGTACTGCGGTTTGTTAAACCGCCAACTTTAAAGTATATTAGTGAACCCAACAGTGTGAACATATCTCAGTGCCACCGTCGAAACAAGTCGACCGCTTGGCAGGTTTTGACTTTACTGAGTCTCATCAGTGGAGTGTGGCCTGCTGACGAACGTGACGGTGTGAGCTCTCCACCAACACCGTGGAGCTCAACACACACCTGCAGCAAAGTGCCAGCAAGGTAAAACAACTAAAGGCGCAGCCCTGCAATATCCTGCTCACGCCACTGCTGGCGGAAGAGCCTCCGCTGGAGGGTGCTCTAGAGAGGCCCTCTCGAGTGTACTTGGCCTACTCTTTCACGCTGACCAAATGTCTTGGGGGTACCCCCTCCATTATTCCACAAGGTGCGACCTGCTGATGGACGAAATGCGGCGAACCCATTTACACTGCAGGGTGTATAAAGGCGGTGGGTGGGTGGGGGGATTTCAGAAAGGCGTCCCGTTGTTTCAGCTTCCGCGCCAAGAGATGGAGTTGAACGAGTGCCCTCGGGAAGTCTGCTGGTGTCACGGTGCTCTCACCGGGACACTCACCGCAACATCGCCGGGGCAAAGTTTAGAATCAACGCGCGTTTCGGGTATTTTTGCTGCTATGAATGTCCACGTGATCAGCCACTTCGTTGAGCTATCGTTTGCGGCCAGGTCACTTCTGACAAAGAGCTGTACATCTCAGTGAGCCTTACCTGCTAAAATAAAACTAGTTTAGTTTAAAATGTAACAAAACAAGAATGCTCAGACAAAACAGCCTTTCGCCCAGGACATCAGATTGACCACTGCCATGGGCTAGAGCCGTCCCTAAGAGACAGTGAATCGGGGCGGCCGGCCTGGGCCCCCTGCTTTGGGGGGCCCTCGCACTTCGATGTCATCGTGTCAGATGTAATACTTCCAGTTTAGTTTTAAAGTGTGGGTGGGGGGGGGGGGGAGCACGCGGTGTGGTTTGGATCGCTCTTCGGACTAGAACAACGGTCTGGAACGCTCCTCCTCCTGATGTTAGGAAGCCACTGGAGCGTTGCACTTTTAAATCATCATCATCTCGATTGAAAACTAAATTCTCGATGACTGCTTATCGTTGTGTTTAGTTTGTTGTCCTTCCTTCTAGATGACAACACACGGACAGTTGCCCGTTCGCAGATATTTCCCCGCACCTCCGATTCGCGCGGTTGGCTACGTACGGCGCGAAAAAAAGTTCACCATGCGCTCCGTCCGTTCTTCCCGCGGCCCCGCACCGCCCCCGTGTACGGCCCCTGTCCGGGGCAAGACTTTCCCACGAGCGCATCAAAGCCACCCACTCGCTGCCCGCGGTGCCCTCTTCTCAGTCCGGTCGACATTCGAACAGGCCCAGTTCAGTCCGGTGAACACGAGAGAGCAGCTGTGCGTACGATGCACTCCAGCCCCCCCCCCCCTCTCGCCGCCACTCGTGCTGCTGCTGCTCGGCTGTTGACGCGGAGCGTGAAGAGTGCTCGAGGTGCCATCGAGCAGCGGCGGAGGCGGCCCAGTGGCCCACCGGGGGGGGCTCTAAAAGCAGTGGACATTTACATTCGGCTTCCTCCTCTCTCGGCGTGTGACTTCCGCATGGGATGACAGAAGGAGTGCGGAACAAAGAGATGGACATGAGATGGAGCTGTGGAGGAGGGAAGAGGCAGAGATCATGCAGAGGTGGAAGTAGAGAGTCGTAGGCGAGAGACGGCGACTGAGAGATGAGAGAGATGCAGGCGACAGAGAGACGGGAGAGACTGGTGTATGGTTAGTCGCGCTGAATTGGAGATGACATTTGGATCACCGCTATACATGGTTTTCTATCAATCCGAGTTCCCCCTCGGTCTGCTCGTGGCCCAAAGTTCTTGCTTGGTTTCTGCTTCTTGCCCAAACGTCGCCTCCCTGTCCCCCAGGCCGGCGCTGTGGAGAGGATCCGTGGCGCGGGGCGCAGTGGCCGCGCGATCCTCTCGGCTGACCCCACGACCCCCTAGAAATGCACTCGCGGTGCGAATAGCAACGGGTCTCGTAACCCTTGATCCTCCACTCCTGTCCCCCGCCATATCTCGCTTCTCTCGTATCTTGCTACTCTGACCCATCTCTCTCTCTCTGTGCCTCCCTCGTCCTGCGCCCAGTCTCCCTTCTTGCTCCCCTTCACTGGAACCAACTCCCACTGCAGCGCACAAGAGCGGTCATCTTCACGATAACAACAACAAGCTGCAGATTCCGTTCCTCCCTTGAAGCAACCCCGTCTCTTCTCCCCTAGCCCATCACCATCCTGCTACTGCTACTCCCTGCCTCCAACCCCCAGCTACGACCAGGCCTCCCCAACCCCTATCACTTCCCCTTACCCTATTACTACCCCAACCCATATCACTACCCCTGACCCTATTACTACCACTACCCCTTACCCTATTACTACCCCAACCCCTACCACTACCCCTGACCCTATTACTATCCCAACCCCTATCACTACCCCTTACCCTATTACTACTCCAACCCCTATCACTACCCCTAACCCTATTACTACCCCAACCCCTATCACTACCCCTGACCCTATTACTACCCCAACCCCTATCACTACCCCTGACCCTATTACTACCCCAACCCCTATCACTACCCCTGACCCTATTACTACCCCAACCCCTATCACTACCCCTGACCCTATTACAACCCCAAACCCTATCACTACCCCTGACCCTATTACTACCCCAACCCCTATCACTACCCCTGACCCTATTACTACCCCAACCCCTACCACTACCCCTTACCCTATTACAACCCCTACTACTGACCCTATTAGCAACTTTTGAAAACAGCACTCCGATTTCTGACGTTTTGCGCCCAGCACGAGGAGAGCTGTACGCCGCGGTGGCTAGGAGATGTCAACTACCTCGCCTGGTATACAGGAGGTCATGTGTTCGATCACAACCCTGACGCCTGCTGTATATTTGGAGTTTACATGTTCTCTCTCTCTCTCTCCGTGGTCGCATGGATTTTTCTCCGGCTCCTCCGGTTTCCCCTCCACATTTAGAATCGACGTCACGCGTTTAGAGCGTTTGGCAGCTCCACATGTCCACGTGGTGATAAGCCGCTTAGTTGAGCTCTCATCTGTGGCCAGGCCACTTCTGATAAAGGTCTTTACATCTCAGTGGGCCTTACTTGGTAAAATGAAGACTTTTTAAAAATAGTTTTAAATCGTTTACGTGAGAGAGACATTGACTTGCCCATTTTAATACGTCTGGTTACTGTTAATCTATTACACATTTAACAGTATTGTGTGTTGCTGACCGCTTTACATTTGTACATTTGGACATCTGCTTAGCAATTCAAATCCAATCGTCTTCATCAGTAATCTATCTTAATGTAGGCCCCCGGGCTGAGCACCAATCCGTGTCCCTTGCCTGAGTGACGGAGCCCCAAGAGCTCACTCAAGGCAGGCAGGAGATCAGAGTAACGGGGTACTTATACTCGGGCCTAGTCTGACTTTGCAAACATACTTAGTGTACAGAAACAAATGTGGAACTAAGGAGTGTCAAGGGACAAGCACCTGAACTTGTATTCATCATCATCAGCATCATTATTCATACATTATGGACCGTGCATTGTATACTTCAGCATTGATTGATGATGGATGGACAGTGTTCTTGACAACCATTCTGTGCTGTCTTGTAACGAAAATAGGTGAAAGTGAAAAGCAGTGCACCTATAACAAAAACAATCGATGCAATGTCTTGAGTGCGAGTGCTTCGTATTATGAAGCAGTAGCTAGTGGACACTTATTGTGTTTTTTTGTGTTTTTTTGCCATTCCCCCCTCCCCCACTTCTAAATCGTCCAAGGAAAATCACAACATTGATATCACGAGAGGCGGCGGAGGGTTAGTTTCAAATGTTATAAGTGTTACAAACAATGGACATCGCAATATCGTTGGAGGTGGTGGAAGATTGGGGTGGAAGTCATCCAGCAGTAGATCGACCATGGCTGATGATTCTGGAGAGAGCGGACATCATGTTAGCGTTCGGCTCTTACAAAAATGTTTTTTTTGGATCGCTCCCTGGATTTTATACGGAGCCCTAACTGATGTAGATGACTTTGAAACCAGGCAAAACGGCTCAATGAATGAACAAATTTAGTTACTTTGACAAAAAAAATATATAGATTTACGTGAAAAGCGCAGACTGGATGGGCTGTGTGAGAGTGAACAACGAGAGAGACGAGAGTGCAGAGAAAACCACTCAACTGGGTTGGCATGCACTGCCTCGGTTCTTAAAGCATTCAATACGCGTCAACAAACTCTATCAGCACTCGCAGCTTCAAGTGTGCCCTAGAGGCTGTCCTCTCCCACACTGAACACACTGCCGCACGCCCGCACGCGCAAGGAATCACGAGCAGACGCACGCGCACAGACGCACGCGCACAGAATCGCGAGAGACGCACGCGCACAGACGCACGCGCACAGAATCGCGAGAGACGCACGCGCACAGACGCACGCGCACAGAATCGCGAGAGACGCACGCGCACAGACGCACGCGCTGACGCGCCGTGACGCGGAGTGACATTCGCCGCTCCCGACGCTCGACGCGTTCACTCGACGACGGCGGCGGTGGCGGCGTCAGCGGCGACAATCGCCAAACGCGGCTCCTGCGACCGAGCTGCGGAAATCGTCGCAAGGCCGCTCCGAGCGCCGGCCGCCTTACGCCGCGACACGCAAGCATCTGCGCGAGTGCATGCGCGTGCACGTGCGTTTTGCTCCCCCCCCCCCCCCCCCAAAGAAGAAGTGCTCTTCTGAAGTTTTCCGCGTCTCGGATAGTTAACCGAGGACTTGGGAACGGCGTCGCGATCGCGAGGAGGGTCGTGAGCCCCCCGTCCGCAGGGAATATTGTCCCGCCGCTGGTTCGAGCGCTTGCGGTGCGGGGCGGTGCGGTGCCCCGGGCTGTTTCTGCGCGGCGCTCGCTGCGATGTTGAAGCAGCTGGGGCGCGGGGAGGACGACACGGAGGACGAGGACGTCAGCTTCGCCCGCTGGATGGGCAGCTTCTGGGGGAACAGGAACCGCGACGCGGCCTCTGCGGGCTCTGCGGGTGTCGCGGGGCCCTCTTCCTCCTCCTCCTCCAGCGGCCGTCGTTCCTCCGTGCCCTGCGCGGTGCGTGCTCTCCGACACGCCGGGAATGAACCACTTCGAGCGCGTGTAAACTAAGAATGGGTCTCGAGCCTTTACGGCGATGAAATAGGATGTGTTGAGATGTTCAACCGCCAAATCGATACCTGTTGCGAGCAGTCAGAGTCTGCATGAAGCGCACGTGCTTGTGGTGAACATGCAAACAAACGTGCTCTGGTAATGTTTGCGTCGCCTTTGAAACTGATTGGCCTACACTCGAGACGGCCTTCTCTCTGGCATTGCCTCACCAGTGTCAGACCAGAGAAAGCCAAAAGGCGATTTCTAGCTCGGGTTGAGCAGTTATATCTATGGGACCTTGGCGAGTGTATTGTTTTTGGCCGGGCAGCGCCGTGATTAGAGAAACATAGCGCACTCGAAACATTCGTCAATAACATTGAGAAAGAGCCATTGCCTAGCTCGCGACGTGTTCCTTACTAATGTTGTTACTTGTATAGGTGTGGATGAGTCACGCTAGCGTCAATACGATTTTACACTTTTGCTTAGGTAACCAAGATGCAATGTGTTGGTAACTTTAAAAAACATTTTTTTTTCTAAATACAAATTAGTTCATGAAATTTTTTTTCTTATACAGTACGTATCTATGTTGAACTTCTTTCGCATCGTACGTAGCCAACCGTGTTAACCGGAGGTGCGGGGAAATGTCTACGAACGGGCAACTGTTCATCTGCTGTCATCTAGAAACGTCTTCACATTTCATTTTTCACCAGAGGCCCATGGTGTAAATGGCGTTTTGTGCGGTCTCTCTGGCCCTCTGTCTCTCTCCATTCCCAACACTTCCACCTCAACTGATACTTTTAAGCTTCAGAATTCATGTTTGGGTTAGGCCACGTCATGAGTCCGAACCAATCTGTGTCGTCAAGCCCCTCCACCAGCCGACACAGCCAAACAAATCTATTGTCCCGTGGTGTGCCGGCATTTAACGTGCCAATTATGTATCAGCTGGTTAGATAGTTTGCGTAGGCCTAATCCAAACATTAATTACGCATCCAAATATTAGCAGTGAAAACCCATTTGCTAAATTGTACTTTTGCTAAGCTGTCGTCAGTCACACAGAATAACTTCATCCGCAACGAATGTTGGGGCCAGCTTTTCACTTTTTGTACCCACTAATCCTGGATGTTGCTCACAGACACTTGGCAGTCCGTTTGTATACGTACAGTATCGTAAAACACACGCACACATGCAATGCATCGGGTAAAGCAGACATACATTATCTTCTGCAATGACTCGAGTACCATATATTTTTTACTGTATTTGCCAAAAGTGGGGGGTGGAGGTGGGGGAGGGAACAGTCATTATTTCAGCTGACAAAGCCTTCAAGGTCAGGACTCGTTTTCCATTGGCAATTGTTTGGCACGAGAGAGCTGGAACGATGCCAGTGCTGTGCCTGGATGTCACAATGCAGGCGCCGACACCGAGGGTTGCCACCTCTGAGGCACAAACAAATACAGGGACACATCACGGGGAGAAAAAATATCTCGCAACGTCGGATAAGGGTCGAACTACGTGAAACTGTGAATGTGTTGAGTGGTGTGCGGGACTATTATTACTGTGATGAAGCAACTGGTTAAAAACGCGACTTTTAATGTCCTGGGAAGACTCGCAGACGGATATCCCAGGACATCGGTTTCTTCAAAAAGAGGATGATCCTGGGAAAACCAGAACGGGTTGCAACAATAACCAATACGAACAATATGGGATAAATGAAACTGAAACTTTTTTTCTTTATTTACGAGGTTAGGCCCACTGAGCTGTACAGCTCTTTTTCAGAAGCGACCCGAAGTGGCTTATTACGTGTAAATGTATGTAAGCCGAATACTCTAAACGCGTGATGTTGATTCTAAATGTGGAGAGAAAAACCAGAGGACCCAGAGAAAAATCCACACGACCACGGGGAGAGAGACACGCAAACTCCAAATATGCAGGCATCAGGGTCGGGATCGGACCCACGACCTCCTGTATACCAGGCGAGGTATTTAACATCTTTCCACCAAAAGCAGGTTACAGCATTAGTGTTTATCTAATTAAAATAACTGGATAGTACCTGCTCATACTGCACTCTCATCATGCTGTATTTGCGTGTTATTTGTATTTTCCTCTATTATCTGCTGCAATTCCTTCTCAATAGTTGAATTGTCACCGCTAAAACATTGCAGTTCTGGCATTTTATCAATTACTGACAAAAAATACATCACGAACGGGGTTTTGAATAACACGCGGTGCAGTTTTGATATGCAACGAACTTATCGACAGATAGCCATCTGTGTTACTCATGTGTGGACGCAGAGGGTGCACAGCAAGCATCGACGGGTTGAAGTCCCACGAGTTAAAGCTCCGAGGCAATATCAGAAACAACATTCGCACTCTGGCATGCGGTTTTGGACTTATTTCCACATTTATTTAGTGTTGCTTAAACAACAAAAACCGTGTTAATACAAGGAGGAAGCATTGGCTAATGTTTGGCCTTTATGCCATCACCCACACAGTGAAATGCCTCAGTCGCAACGGAATTCCCCAGCCCTGCCGATCGCCGCAACCATAGGGGGCGGAGGTGCAGTGGGCTTTATTCGGCTGTATCGGGAAAATAACCGCGCAAGGCTTTCGAGAGGATGACCGCTCTCCCAAGAACCAGACGCCAGGCTTCCCAGATGTGCAATGCCCAGGTGGGCGCTCATAGCTTGCCCCAAATAAATAAATAATGCACCATCCTGCAATAAAACCCCATAGCAGCTGAGTAATGCGAGAGTCACGTTTCCAATAAGGCCACATTTCAGCAGCGCGCATACAATAAGTGTTGCCCACATTGCAGTACTTTGAAAAGTGTAGCTGCGTACCAGGAACAGTTAAGCAGTTTGCATTGCGAGATCATTCTTTTCAATTGGTCACCAAAAATAATATTATTTCGTTTGATTAGAGAGCGTCTCGATAACGATATTTGACGTCCACTGTGTGCTATTTTAATAAGGTATCTTAATTTTATTTTTCAATAACACAATGTCTCTTTAGTTCAATCAGGCATTGGACAGTGGCCATCTCTTTTGCCAGACCTAAGCCAATGGTGGAAATTCTACATTCCTATGGTGTGGCATTTTTTAAAAGGATGGCCACAATTGCTAATAAATGAATGTAAATGTATGGCCGGTTTCTCTATAATATGCCCCACCTCAGAGCTAAACGTTGTATGCAATTTATTAGTTCATGTGGGTCCTGTAATTAGTTCATTTGAATTCCTCACAGCCACTAGAGGCCGTTACATTTACCGTGAAGTGTCCAGTAATTTTTACTCATATTTATGACAATTCACGGGTTAAACAAAGTAAACTACTACGATGATCGCCAACAGTAGGAGGACCGTTGCTGCTGCAAGTTCGTGGACCCAGAGACCTCTGTAAATGGCCAGTACGCCAAGGAGGAGGAGGGATGATGGGCTCGGCAGGGGCTACTGGAGTCGGGCTGTAGTCAGCTGTTCGTGAGACATTCTTCGGGATTTCTGTGCCACCGATTCTAATGCGCTCGTGGCGCCCGCCACGCCGCGCACGCCCACAGGAGCAGGAATTCCCGTGTCTCCTGCTGCTGCCCGGGCGGCCGGCTCGGCTAGCACCATCGCGATCGCGGAGGCAATGGTTCGGGGGGGGGGGGGAAGGCAAAGCGTGGTCGTGCCGGAACGAATGCACGGACGTGTAACTTGATGCGACAGAGTCAGAATCTCTTTGGCTCGGGCGACTACAGCAAGGCCACAGGGAGGCCACAGGGAGGCCACAGGGAGGCCACATGGAGGCCACAGCGAGGCCACAGCAAAGCCACAGGTAGGCCACAGCAAGGCCACAGGGAGGCCACAGCGAGGCCACAGGGGGGCCACAGGTAGGCCACAGCAAGGCCACAGGGAGGCCACAGGGAGGCCACAGCGAGGCCACAGGGAGGCCACAGGGAGGCCACAAGGAGGCCACAGCGAGGCCACAGCAAGGCCACAGCAAGGCCACAGCGAGGCAGCAGCAAGGCCACAGCAAGGCCACGGCGAGGCCACAGGGAGGCCACAGGGAGGCCACAGCGAGGCCACAGGGAGGCCACAGCGAGGCCACAGCGAGGCCACAAGGAGGCCACAGGGAGGCCACAGGGAGGCCACAGGGAGGCCATAGGGAGGCCACAGGGAGGCCACAAGGAGGCCACAGGGAGGCCACAGGGAGTCCACAGGGAGGCCATAGGGAGGCCACAGGGAGGCCACAGCGAGGCCACAAGGAGGCCATAGGGAGGCCACAGGGAGGCCACAGGGAGGCCACAGCGAGGCCATAGGGAGGCCACAGGGAGGCCACAGCGAGGCCACAGGGAGGCCACAGGGAGGCCACAGCGAGGCCACAGCGAGGCCACAAGGAGGCCATAGGGAGGCCACAGGGAGGCCACAAGGAGGCCATAGGGAGGCCACAGGGAGGCCACAGGGAGGCCATAGGGAGGCCACAGGGAGGCCACAGCGAGGCCACAAGGAGGCCATAGGGAGGCCACAGGGAGGCCACAGGGAGGCCACAGCGAGGCCATAGGGAGGCCACAGGGAGGCCACAGCGAGGCCACAGGGAGGCCACAGGGAGGCCACAGCGAGGCCACAGCGAGGCCACAAGAAGGCCATAGGGAGGCAACAGGGAGGCCACAGCGAGGCCACAAGGAGGCCATAGGGAGGCCACAGGGAGGCCACAGGGAGGCCACAGCGAGGCCACAGGGAGGCCACAGGGAGGCCACAGCGAGGCCACAGTGAGGCCACAGGGAGGCCACAGCGAGGCCACAGGGAGGCCACAGCGAGGCCACAGCTAGGCCACAGCAAGGCCACAGGGAGGCCACAGGGAGGCCACAGGGAGGCCACAGCGAGGCCACAGCGAGGCCACAGGGAGGCCGCGATGCAGTACTGATCAAGTCGGGTATCGTCTGGGAGAAAAATATTTTAGGTTTGTTTCTAAGAAATCTTTGTTCTCTGTATT